CGATCACATGTCTGATACTTTATACTAACAATATTGTAACTTACAGATCTGATGCCTCAAAATATATACGTCAAACATTTAATGTATCACCCTTATATCCAATAATGATTCACCTAAATTCAAATTCATGACTGAAAAATGAGTTGCATACCTTTTGTTATCAAATCTATGAACTCAAAAATTGAATTCATGTTTTATTTTGAAATTTGTCATTACAACTACTAGAGTGGCTTTATCCTTGTACAATTGATTCACTTTCACGTCCATACTATGTGTATCCGATATGTGATTTGTTACCTCCATTTCTGATATGTAACATGAATCACCATTTTTTGATTCCACCAAGTTGAGTGTGTGTGTCCTTTTCAGCACCTTCAACACAGACAATTGCACCAATCGACACATCAAAACTTTCTATCTCACCAACATCATTATCAGTTATATCAACACTGATGGAATACATATCAAATCCAACTTCACGTTTCTTCACCTCTACGTATAACTTTACCCCCATATCATTCCTTATAATAAGTGGAGAGGATTTTCCTTCTACAATGTATCGTATATTAATTTTTTCCTAGATTCATCAATATTTAACTCAGCTGCAATGGCTGAAACTAGATTTGTAAAGGAAATATTCTCACCAACCACTATCCCATCACTTCTGTACTTTCATTTCTAAGCTCACTCTCCCATACTCCTAAATGCCTCAACAAAATTGAAATATTCATTATTTAACTGATCAAATATACAACAAAAAATTTGAATCTCACTCGAAAGTTTCTTCGTTGAAACAGGGACCAAGACGAATAGGCTTTGAAATTTTTTGAATTATGAATTGATTTGTTATTTTAGGAATAAAGTTTCGTTGATGGACAGTAAGGATGAAACTTATTAGCGTGAATTAGGGGATTTTATTTTTAATTATCCGTTTTGTTTTCCATTTAAAGCGCAACAACAAAATATATAACGTATAACTATTAATGTATCAAAACTCCCAATTATGTATTCGAATTGTGTAACTTTTCAGGAATTAATGTAATTACAAAATAAATAGGGATAGGATGTAATTTCATCTTAAAACTATGTGATTCCTAAAATTTATACTAAATTGTATGCTAAGCATTTCAGCAAGGATTTGGCCCAACAACTTTGCAACCTATAAATAAGCCCAACTTGAGGAAATACTTTTGAAAAAAAAACATATTCTCTCTCGATTTATGTGACACTTTTTGTTTTTTGAGAGTCAAACAGTTTAAGTTTGACTGACAATTTGCGCATGAAATCTTCAATTTTTTTGAAATGAAATTTATATATTTGTAAACTACGTAAAAAGTATTATAAGTCACAATAATTGATAATTTAAAATGTTTAAAAGATCTATAAAAAAAAATTACAGTTAAAGATAGGCTTGTGTGAATTTCGTAATCCAAAAAGTGCCACATAAAATGAAACAGAGGAAATATATGAAAGATCTATTTGTAAATTGGATAGTAATGTTTTGATGGAAATCTTTTAGTACAAAAGAGAAAAATAATGTCAAGTTGTTAGTTGGGGAAAGTAATTTGAAATTAAATTAAAATATATATAAGAAAATTAACTTTTTGACACATAAGTGTAGGAAGTTAATTTTCCATTTTTGATGGTAAATGAGTATCAATAATTAAACATAAAAAATGTCTTTCTTATAAAAAAAATATATCCTCCCATTAGTTATACCTTTACTGGATTTGTTGTTGTTGTGGTGGAGTTACATTACATCCTTAAGATTTGTGAAAAATTCTCGGGCAACATATTTTGACATCGTTATTAACATGTATTTGTGTTCGTAAATATTTCTTCACTGATAATCAACATGCAGTTTCTGAAGTTTTATATGATTGAAATTCAATTATTTTTACCCAAAATTTTAGATAAAACAGACTTCAGTCATTTGTGCTTGAACTTCAATAATATATACCTTACACAATATCTGAAGTTACACGTTTGTTAAAATTAACACAAATTGAATAACAATATCAAAATTAGTTTTTGGTGCACTTTAGCATTTTTATTTTAATACTTTGCCGCTTCTTTTTAAAAAATAATAATATTTTTTTTCATTGAGCAAATTCCAAAGATGTGAGGACCACATTCTCCCCACACCAAACCATGCCAATATTCATAACATTTTGTTTCACCCAAAACCCTAAAAATATTCAAACTAATAATATAGAAACCCTAAATCAAGAAGTAAAAATAATTAATAATATAAATTAAACTAAATAAATTGTTTTTATTTCTAACATGTAATTATCAAGTGCCCTTAAGTAGCAAACATGCGATAAAGCCAAAGACGGAAATATGCAAGTGTTTGTACGGACACAATCCGACGGATGAGATTTATTAACACTGCCACGTGTCATGATCACAACCGTTGTTTTGGGCTTGAAAGTCGAGGCCGTTGTTGTTACCCGACAAGTGGTACATGATGTGGGAAGAATTTGGATAGGTGGCCCACAGTTGGACACGTGTCAGCATTAGGAGTCATGTTAGTTCCACATATTGAGGAATTTATGTCATTGGATGTTGATAAATTTGTGGGAGATTGGTGTATTGTGCCACTCTTTTAAGAGACAAATTTAGGGTTTTCGAAGATGGTAGAGTGTACGCATATTTTATCTCTATTTCAAGAAGTAAGAATATTGTTTCTGAAAAACTATCGGCTTGAGTAACATGTACTTCAGACTAGTTAAAAGAAAAATACATACAGAAATTACAAGAACTAGAAAATAATAGGAAAAACATAACATAATATTTAAAAAAAGAGCAATATTTTTTCTGTCCAACAATACTTGTTAACTATTGACTTGCACAGTACTTCTTAAGAAACTATAAATAGAAGGGTAATTTTACTGTATCACCCTTTGAATATAATAATTACAATGTCTTGAAAAATATAATAGAAAAATGATTATAATTAATGGTAAATTAGGAACTAAGTGTAAAATTATCCATTAATTTCATAAAGTGGACAAATATTGTTGGACATTCCAAAATATTATAGTGGACAATTATTATTGGACGCAGAGACTAATAAGAATAATCAACTAATGTGATATATATATATAGCTGCTTAGACATTGGCAAGTTGAAATTGATTTGAGTTATATTATTGGTGAATCTATTATTTTTTGTAATAGAAGGTTATAAGTTGCTATTAGGGTTGTTCATGGTTATGGTTAAAACATCAAACTAAACCGCAATTTGAACCAAACCAATTATAAAAGCCGATATTTGGTTGGATTTGGTTAGGTTTGGTTTTGAATTTTGAAAACCGATATTATTTGGTTTGCTTTTGGTTTTACTAAAAAAAATGCAAATATAATCAAACCGAACCGATAAATTAGATATATAAATTTTATAATTATTTATATATTATTCAGAAATAATTAAAATATAAATATTTTGTTAGATTTCAATTAACTTAAGTCTTTAACTTAATAAAACACTTTTGCCCAACTATAATAATCCTAAGTCCAAGTCCATCAAAATCAATTTTAGTCTTACCTACCCTACTTCACATAAAATAGTCACATTTTCTCTTAATTGAAACACGTTATTAGTGTAATGATAACTCTAGTATTGCTCAATTGAACCGACAATAGTTTTTTTGTGGATTGTTCATGTGCTAGGTGTTGTGTCTATCGACGTAAGTCCTCAAAAAAATTACTATTACTTTCAAACCGAATAAACCAGAAAACTGAACTAAACTGAACCAAACCGACATTTATTTTTTAGATTTGGTTTTAGAAATTTAAAAAACCGACTAGATTGGTTTGGTTTTGATTTTAATCAATAACCGATCCAAACCAAACCACGAACACCCCTAGTTGCTATAATAAAGATTTATTAAAATTGATAAGTTTTATGTTGATTGTCAGCCAACTTGATCTTCCTTCTTTTATGTGGGCTTGATACCAATAACATCATGAGGCACATAATTCAATTACCAAGTTTACCAAATAAATTTACTAATTTTTTGGACGTTGTATCGAATTAAATGATCACATACTCCACCAGTCATGTGCAGCCTGTTGTTAAGTATTCCATTGAGTTTCAATCTTACAATCGTACTTCTTAAGTATCGATAAAGTGTTTTACGCGTTAGTTAGAGTACCTTTGCATTCACAAAGATTGAAGGTGAACTTTCATTGTTTGCATTACATGATCACATGCTCGCTTCTGAGGGAATGAGATATGTCTTCGCTTTTGAGATTCCTTCGTAAATCTTCAGATTTCACCTTTACATATGAAGTGTCAATTTCCTCTACCTTACTCAAGTGAATTGATTTCAAGATTCTGTCATTTTTTTAGGACTTTCACTTTCCACTTAGACGTTCATTAATATTTACCTATGATTAATTAATTAAGTCATGACATAATTATGCAAATAATGCATTCCAAAATTAGAAATTGTGATTTCTGCCATTAGTAGCTTAATTGTATTGATTACATATCCGTTAGAAAAGTTTAGTGCATCTCAGCAAATATGAACAATCATATTATTAAACCTAATTGATCTTACCCTTGATAAAGAACAAAAAGTAAAATACAAATTCATTTAAAAACTACTTATTTTATCTTTACTGAGATAATTTATAAACAAACAAAACATATAAGATTCATTTCAGATGATCAAAAGTTTCAATTCTTTTTCTTAAGCATCATGTCTAGCCAAATACCATTACATAAATTAAAACGTAACAAAAAAGTGACTGACAAGAAAAAAGGTATATAACATGATAACATCATCATAATATATATTCACCTCAATTATCACTCAAGAAACAACAACAACAAACAAGTGTGAGAGCACGATATATAGTTACTCCCTTCATTTTAATTTGTTTGTTTAATTATTGTTTCGACAGTCAAATAAAATGGAAAGAAGTTAATAATATATGCATAATGATGTTCTTATTTTGCATTGTACCAATGCTTAATTAAACTCAAGAAAATTACTCAATAACAATATTTGCACCTACATTCTTATCATCATGAATCTGATGATCAACTTCTTTCATTGCCATTATATTTTTCTGATTTCTTCTTGATTTTTTCCTTTTTTTGTCATAGCTAATTCCTCTAGACTTGGACTGAAAATTACGAACATCGCGTAAAAATAGCTTAACTGCTTTAGCTCCAAACGGGTTCATTTCCGAATTTCCTCCATGTTCTTCATAAGCAGCACGAAGACGCCCTATAAGAGCGTCCAGGCTTCCCCATGCTTGCCTTAAAGGGCAAGCACAGGGTGCCGGAGGATTTAGCATCCCAAAAAATGGACAATTTAGGTTATGGACTTTAGTCTTTCCGAACTGATCCAAGTACCTGTTAGAATAAGAGAATATTATCATAGATAGTAATGGAATCAGGAATTCATATTAAATTATTCAAAAAAAAAAGTTCAAAAGCAACTTTTTGAACTCCTTTATATCTCTATAGAGTAAATGTTCCTTATGTCAAGGGGTACAACAATTTATGTCATAACCAAAAAAGAAGTTATAGTTATTCGATAACGGGACTCAATTGAACCCCTTTGTTCTTACTAGACCTGGACACTATATAATGACATACAAAGGCATTTATGATAAACACTCAATCTTAGGAAGTAAATCTAAATTAAATGTAGTCGAACATCATTAACTTAAAACTTCTAGCTTCGTCCCTGACTACGCAATAATTGTTTCAAGGGGTACACCAATAGATGTATAAAACAAAAAAAAAGTATAATTTTTTGATAACAAGATTCAATTGAACCCCTTCATTCTTACTAGCTCCAAACACTATATAATGACATGCAAAGGCATTTATGATAAGCACCCAATTTTAGGAAGTAAATCTAGATTAAAAAAAAAGGTATAATTCTCTAATAACAGGATTCAGTTAACCCCTTTATCCTTACTAGCTCCAAACCTATATAATAACATACATACAAAGGTACTTTTTGATAAGCACCCAATCTTAGAAATTAATGATAAGCACTCCATCTTAGAAAGTAAATCTAGATAATATGCAGTTGAGCACCGTGGCTTAAAAATTCTAACTTCGTCCCTGATTATAAAAAAAAAAATATAGTGAACATCCGTAGCTATTTGTATATAGGCTTACATGTAAACATAAAATCTAGAAAAATCCTTAACTAATACCACAATTTAAATGATGCTCATACATTTTAATCCTTATTTTGACTAATAAATTGTTAACAATAGAACCTAGCTATCAAAAAAAATAAATTCTTTAATTTTAATTTGTCTGTTTTAATATGATTTGACATGAGGTTTAAGAAAGTAACGATTTTTTTAAAAAAATTGTGGTCTTAAACTAAAAATATAATGTACCAAAATATTCTTTAATCTTGTGGTCTTAAAACATGAAATGTTGAAATTAAAGAGTTGTCAAACTAGGAAGGAGTCATTCTTTTTTGAAACAAAAGTAAGACAAATAAACTGAAATGAGTAATTTTTTTTCAAACATGGTCCTATATCACAAGATACACAGTAAGCTATATAACAAAATAATGCTAATTAAACATCTAAAATGTTAATATAATTAAACTAAAGTACTCTACAAGAATTATTGGTTAAAAAATTGAATATTATGATTCAAACAGTATACGTACCTTAGAAATTCCAGAACATGAATGCTGCTGCATTGCAGAAGTGACATTAAAGGATGATGATTTCTTATGTATTGACAAAACGTGTTCCAATCACGACGTTTCTGACTCTCATATCGACTCAATCGAGGAGCTGAGAGAATGTCAACAACATTGTTGCTCGGGTTAACATTTGCAACATCCATATGGTGGTGCTGAATGAGCGTGAAATATACTTTAATTTCTATCTTATAATATGTAAAACGCTAACGAGCAAGAAAACAGATATACCCTAAAAAAAAAAAAACCAATGGCTTTAGGGTCACAAATAAAGATCACTCAGAAAAATCCCCTTTTATTGACTCAAAAATTTGGACTGTGGGGTGGGGTGGGGGTGGGGGGGGGGGGGGGTTCAAACTTGTACTTGACCTAGCTAGTGTAGCATGGCCAATTGGCCAATGAATAAGCTAATATCAAATTTATCGGGGTCTGAATCGTGTCCTAAAGATAGTAAAACATTATGTGTTACATATAATTGCGAATTCTAAGCTATATATAAAGAATATTAAGATTGTGATTATAGCACAAAAAATGTCACTAAATAAACGTCGTCGTATTCTAGTGCTTTTTCTCTAGAACAAAACTAAAGACAAGGGGGGACAAAAATAGTGAGAAGTGAAGAGAGTGACATTTGTAGAAAGAATTTATATTGTGATTCAGAAAGGGATATCCTCTTAATTTGGCATTTTATTTCAACTTGCATTAATAATTTAATATAATGGTACGAATGGTTAGGTTTTGCTTGTAAGTTTGTAACCCCTACTAATATTATTCAATATGAGGGCACGTGTATAATTTGAAAGCAACAATTCTTTAAGAATTAATGAAATTAACTACAATCCAACAACTCCTAGGAAACTTCATAGCAACTACATGTAGCTATAGGGTGTGTTTGGTACTAAGGAAAATTGTTTTGTTTTTTTACATAGGGACATCTTAGGTAATTTATTAATTATATGGAGATCGATATACATGGTTTCATAAACTCTTAGGTAATTTATAGAATATTCTTCGAGAGTCATCAAAATTCTGAATATTATAGGTGTATTGAGTTTGAGGAGGGGAAGAGCATAGGCGAAATGTGCTTGAAGTGGAAAATTAATTGGGTTAATGTCATTTTCAGGATAACTAGAATGCTCAAAGAATGGGTGAAGTATAATGATCCAGTTGTACAAGAATAAGGGTGATATTTTAAATTACAATAACTATAGGGGTATCAAATTACTAAATCACATTGTGGTTGTGATGAGATAAGGATGAAAAATGTAAGAAACAATTTGGATTTTTGTTGGGACGATCGATAACGAAAGTATTGAAGTAGTATATAGGGAAGAGGAAATAAGACTTACGTTTGATGTTCATCAACCCAGAAAAGACATATATATGACTAAGTCCTAAGGAAGGTTTTATGTAGATGTTTGGAGTCTAGGGTGTACAGTCATATATTAGAGTGATTAGGTATATGTATGATGGAGCGAGGATAATGGGAGGAGACTCGAAATACTTCCTAGTCAAGATCCGGTTGCACGTCCACGATCAGCTCTGATCCCATTTTTATTTGTCTTGGTGATGAATGAATTGACATGATATATTCATCAAGAGAAAGTACATACCATAGTGTATATTATTTGCAGACGACATAATATTGATTGACAAGGCACACAACGAAGTTAACGATAGACTGAAGATTTGGAGACAGACCCTAGAGCTCAACTGCTCCAGGATGAGCATGCCTAATACAAAATACATGAGTGCGAGTTTAGTGTCGCATCACCGGAGAGGATGAAGAAGTGGAGAGTGATACACAAGTCATCTCTAAGAGAAGAAAATTTAAATATGTTGGATCTGTAATACAAGGAAATTAAGATCATATCGAGGACGTCGCACTTCATATTGAAAGGGGTGATTAAATTGATGCCCACATTAGGTGTCCTATATATGATAAAAATATATATGTCAACGAGACTTACATATAAGTTCTATTGAGTGCATAGTTGTTCGGTTAATTATGTTTTTGTCAGTTGGTCGGTCTAAATTAAATTCACACGTTCAGAAGATGAAGATAGTATAATGAGAATGCTCATCAGAGGAATATATGTGCCAGAAAATTAAATATATTTTTAAGTAAATAATACACACATTTGAAGTGTATTAATTGAGTAGCATTATTGTATAGGGACCATTTTGAGGAAATTTCGCAGAATTGTGGTCTTATTCTTAAAAATATGCATACTACAATTTATGGCATGAATAAAACAACAAAAAAAAGTACATTATAAATGATCATTAAATTTGGCAGCTAACTTCAATTGAGTTTTTATAATCACTTGAAGTAACTATTATAAAAATAACTGAAATTCCACCTCTATTGATAGTTAAGTAATGAGTTTAGAATGATATATTAATCCCATCGATAAGAATTTTGGTAGAGTGGTAAGTACTCCTTCATTTATAACCAAGAAATCTCGGGTTCAATCCCCCTTTTGGTGCAGAGTCATATTTGTTGGGAAGATCAAATCATGCTAATTTATCTTAGTTAAGTTAGAATGTTATGCAAGAATAAGTTAGAATGTTATGCAAGATAAAATGTATGAAATAAAAATTTATATTAACTACTCAACCAATTCTCTTAGAAACATTTTAAAATGTGAAATATATCCGAACAAACAACACCGTTATAACAGCATGACCTAGTAATGAAGTAAAAAATTATCAAGAAAAATTAAAATATAAAGAAGTAAACATACATAGATAAACTAAGGGATTTAACATATATTTATATACATAAAAAGAAAATTTTATCTATTGTTGGAGTAATTTTTCAACGAAGAGGTATTAGCTGCAGGTAAAGCCGTCAATATGGGCTACGCCTGTTGGGCCGGCCTGTCATAACCCGTGATTTAATAGGATTAGGCTAAGATTTTTGGAGCCCATTTAAGAAAATAACTTTTTAGTCTAATCTGAATAAGTTTGCTGATTTGTGGGGCTTGAGAAATATGAGAAGGGCCGGCCCGTGGGCCAAATAAAAATAAAATGTAAAAATTAGGCAAATGACATAGTATAAGAAAGAAATTACTTCATTTCCCTACTCTTTCATTAATTACCAAAAATCCTTTTTTTAGTGTTTTTCGGATACATAATATAGCAGTGTGGATACTTAATACAGCAACGCGGATACTTTAATTAATAACGGGCGGATACTTAAATTATTAAGTTGTTAGCAGCACAGATACTTAATTAACGGGCGGATGCATAATATAGCAGCGCAGATACTTTAATTAATAACGGGCGGATACTTAAATTATTAAGTTATTAGCAGCACAGATACTTAATTAACGGGCGGATGCATAATATAGCAGCGCGGATACTTTAATTAATAACAGGCGGATACTTAAACTAATAAAGTATCCGGTTAAGTTGAATTGGGGGAAAATAAGGGATTTTTGTATTTTAATAAAAGAATAGGGAATTATTGAAAATAGGTAAAGAAGTGTTGTGTATTTAAGTAATTTTTCCAAATAAAATTGAGTATTAAAAATAAAAAGAGTTCAAACTCAAAATCTATTTAAAGTTTTACATATTAAAATTTAATTACAAATTATGTTTATAAAATATGTAATTATGTAATACATAAAATAAAAAATTTCTAAAATTTCTGGGGAATCACCACGTAAGCCGTAGCTTAATTATTTACCAACAACCATATTCTCTTAGTAGTTTACCTTTTCTTATAAACTACATAAGAATATGAAGATGTTAAGACAAACTTGCCACAAGTTGATTCAGATGTGCTTGATGAAGATGATGCTTTGGTGTTAGATACGCCATCAGTTCCATGATTTTTTTAAGGAGTTTATTTATCACTTTTTTATGAATGGAATATTGTCATATATTTTGTGTTTTATTGTGATCATTGAAAAATAATTAAGTTGAAATCAAATTTAATAAATATTAAATAATTTTATTTGTAGATTTGATTAACAAGTAGTAACACTGACACATATAATGATTAAAAAAAAAGTAATAACACTAACACCATGTAGTATTATCTTGTTGATATTCATGATAATATTTTTAAATTATAATTTGATTTAAGAAATTATAAAAATATACTTTTAAAAAAAAGTGGATTGGCCCGGCACAACCCGTAGCCCGCATACTTGTGGGTTGGGCCGGCCGTTTTCTGGCCCACAAAAAAAATGAACCAGCCCGACCTGACCCGTCAAATTTCAAAGCCGATATAAATTAGTCCGGATAAGATGGGTCAACCCATATTGACAGCTCTAGCCGCAGGTAACTACAGATTGATAATTAGAAATTCAATGTCCAAATTAAATACTTTTGTAACTTTGCTCAACACAGAACTTGTCCTGCAACTTTTGGCTGCTTAATTCACACCTGTTTGCTGCAAGTGCTTTGGTTACAGATTATGATACAATAGTTACAGCAATAATTTACATAAAAGGGCAGTCTATTGCACTAAGCTCCCGATATGCACGGGGTCGGAGAAAAGGCCGAACCACAAACATCTATTTACATAGAATCATTGATACAATTCTACTGTTACCAAAACAAAATCTTCATGAGTCTCCTTTTTTTTTTTCTATTGAAAGAAAAGTTACTCTTTCCCTTACAGACCATCCAAAAGGGAAACTAATACAGTCAAACCTCTCTATAACGGCATGATTTGTCAAGATACTTGGAAGTTAGAGCAAAATGTTGTTTTAGAGGATATATAATATAACCTAACATTTAAAGCCAGTTTCAAAGAAAACTTAACCGTTATAGTGAAACTTGTGTCTAAATCAATGTATACAATCATATGTACAGTGTATCATGAACAAATTATTCTAATGGTTGTAACTTGTAAGCCACAATTGTGTTCAACAATAAGATAGTTATCCATATGAACATTCATTTTCTACAAAATTTCTGCTTCCAAATTTGTGTAGATGATTAGGACAAGCTGAAAACGTACCCGGGTTCAAAGGTCAAATATTTTAAAATCTCAAGCTAGAAGTAGACTGACTCACAGATAATTTCTGATGTAGCCACAAAATCACCTTGCATCTACACCAACGAAGCCCGGAATTCACATTCACCGGTAGGTTTCTTGCTGGATGAGCAAATTTCTCTGGTCATTTCTTGAAACCAGTCAATTGCTTGATACACGAGGATTGGCATCGATCTGACTGTCTGGTTGGTAGCGACATCATGTTGGTTAAAACAGCACCA